GAGTGTGAACGGTGGCGGGCTTTAAAGTAGCCCATGGGAATGGTGGTTGAATAGTTTGAGGACTTTCCAGCCCCTCGCTATTGCTACTAGTGGTAGCATTAGGAGGAGAAATTGAAGGTGGTAAAGGCTGAGGTAGTGGTGGAAGTGATGGGAGTGAAAGTGTAAGCCATGATGATTCAATCACCATATCTTGTTCTTGATATGAAAGTGTTGCAGCAGTAGGAGGAGGAACACCAGGGTGCATGATGTCTGAAAGAAAGAATGTTTGTGGGTTAAAAGGATGGGTTGGAGGTGTGTATTCAAATGGTAAAGGTGCAAGGGGTGATGAAGGTGATGAAGATGGTAGTGATGAGACATCCATAGCAGCAGCATCACCATCATGGTTCATCATCTTTCTCGTTCAGGCAGTGACGGCAAGAAACACAGAGAAAAGAGGGAGATTGCTGTTGTTGTTGAAGTTTGAATGAAACTAGGTTTTGATATTAAATAAACTAGGGCTTCGTTTTAATATACTACTTATAAAAAATTATGCTTCCGTTTTAAATCATTTGTTACCTTTTAATAATGCTAAAAATAATTAAATTTTAGACCTCTTTCTAAAAAAAGGTTCTTTCTGCTACTACAAACTACTACTCCCTATTAATCATATGGGCTGTTTTAAATTACCCAATAAGAATTTTACGTGTCGAAGTTTAAAATAGTTATCACAATAACCTATCACTCAAGTGCTTCCTTCAATTATGGAGTAAGGTTACAATTTTAAGGATACCTATGTTAGATTCAGATTACACATCGTATAAGCTCATTTATCAAAAAATTTAAATATTTTTTAATAACAATTTTTTTTTTAAATATTATTAATAACAAAAAAAAATTTAAACTATAATAATACTTACTTGAAATTTTAAACAAATCTTTATTTTATTAATATTTTTTAATAAATTTGTTTAAAAGTGATAGAAAATCTTATGGTTTTTAATTGTTCACTTTATATACTTAATTTCAAGTTAATCATTCCTTATTTTAAAATATTTTTTTAAAAAAAATATTTTATCATTTTGGAATAAACCATAAATCATAATTTATATGAATTTTAAGATACTTATAATCATAAATCATAATTTATATGAGAAATAATATTTCAATTTTTAAAAAAACATATCAATAGCATATAGTTTATTTTCATTAATTAAATTTAATTAAATGTTAATGGATCAATTAATCTTGTAGAAACAATCAATATGATTTAATTAATATAATTAAATGAATTCAATTGCATATCAATAATAAATAATAAACTTATCTTATAAAATATTATATTTTAAATTAAAAAGAATTTCAAAATAAAAATATTACATACATAAATAATTAAAAAATAACATATTTTTCTTGTATTTCGAATCATACATGATTTTAATTTTTTTTTAATTTTACAAAAAATATGATAATTGGTGCATTCACACAGATTTTAATATGATTATCCGTGCTTTCACACCGTATTTATGTGTTACTCGTGCGTTCACACGAATACTGGTGTGGATTAGTTTATTTATAATTTATTTTATTCAATTTATAATTTATAAATTTAAACATCAAAATCTCAATTATATAGCACATTCTAATAAGTAATGTTGAAATATTTTTTATAGTCACTATTATAGATAAAAAATTATTTTCTTAAAACACATTTAATTAATATATTAATAATGTAATAGTGACTCGATAAATTTAAAAAAAAATTGTGAGATAATTATAGAAAACACTATTGCTCATGATTAAAATAGTAAACTTTAACAAAATCTGTTTTGGACTGGCCTGACATTCAGAGTGGGCCCAGTCTCACCCCTTCTTTTGGTAGGGCCTATGCGCCCATGGTCTGAATCTCCCTGCTTTCTGTCGGGCTATGTCGACCCTTTATCCTCCTGGACCGGCACTGACCCACGATGATTGACGAACACCTCTTAATCTTTTTGATCTCGAGTCGTGCGGACGATCAAGAATCGACCAGACCGCTGTCTGTAACCTACCTCCTCCTCGAATCTAACGGCTAGTTACGGGCACACCTGCCCGGTATTGACCAAGTCTTGGCAGTTACGTATTTTTGCGGACCCGCGTATCCAGGCCTAAAAATAGGAACCAATGGCCATGCGTCGGGGGGATTATATAAACCCTCACACATGTGAGGGCCAGGTACCGAATATTTACTATTCACCACGAATACCCTATGTGATACGGTGGGAAGAACTGACTGTTTTTTTGGAATGTTGGTTTGCGTTTTGCGTTTTTTGTTTGCAAAATGTCGCGGTAAGCAAGAGTCACCACCGACTTTTATTTTATCCAACAAGGAAAGGAAAAAAGCACAGCAAAAAATTCCTTTTTCGAGATATTTCTCGGGTTCGGGGGGTAGATTATAGAAAGGGAAGGTGTTAGCACCCTTTCTATCCGTGGTTATCCACGGCTCTTAGGTACTTGCTCATATTGTTTTCAAAATTGCTTTCTTTGTGCTTGTGGGTTTGAAAAAAAGTTTTTATTTGAAAACTTCGATCGTATGAAGGTTTTTGAAAAACTTTGTTCGAAAAGTGTAAGTGTGAAAAGTTTTTGTTTTTGAAAGAGCAAGTACTTAAGAACCATCCACCTACTCGAAAAAGGAATCATTCTATGCTAATTTCCTTTAGACAATGCTATCCCACTATGGATGAGTAGGTAGCACCATCGTTGGAGTTTAAGGATCAATTTGAATGAGGGGCATACGGTCACTAAAGCAATGGTAGGACGCCTTAGCGGTAACCCTAATGTCTTAGATCATTTGTTTTGAGGCAAAAATATCCGAGGCAACCGTTTCGAGGCAACTATGATCTTTGGACAAGAGGGCGACCTCTAAAGTGACCTATACTTAATGACCGCGTATAAAGGCAACCAAGTGGGGTGTACCTTAAGAGTGCACATGTGCGAGTGTGTCGTTTTTCAGTTAATTTTATCTTTGTACATGTTATGGGTGATCTATGTTGATTTTAGGTCAACATTCATTCTTGTCATGCATTCCTATTATCAAACATCTAACAGTTATATTTTGCGGAAAATAAATTGCGGAAATTAAATTACAAGGTGTCGGGTATTTACATCGCCAAAAGCAACCCTTTGAATTTTAAATGCGGAAAAAATAAATAAAGCGATAAAGTAATTAAATGGTCCTAATTATCTATTACAAATCGGGAACAAGTACAATATTGAATAAATAGATCGCGTGCGGGAAATTAAATCGAGCGCAAAGTTTAGGGTTTTGACCCTTTGTTATTAAAGAAAAGATTTTTTTTTGTTGTTTTTAATTTTAAGAAATAAACTATCCTAAATTAATTAATAAATTAATTAATGAAAATAAATATTTTTGGGTTTTTTTGTTATTTAAAGAAAGAAATAAAAATAAAAATTAATTAATGTTGGTAAAAACCTAATTAAGTCTAATTAGTTTTAATTATTTACAAAAATATATTAAAGTTATTTCTAATTAAAGCCTAAATTAATTAAATTAATGTTTATTAATAAAAATTAAAATTTGATTTTATGAAGAAAACATTTTTTATGGTTTTAATTTTATAAAGAGATTGATTGGTTAGTTAATAATAAAAATAACAACAATAAATAATTAAAACAAAAAAATATAAAATAGAGAGAGATAGGGAGGTTTGGGCCTGAATATGAGTGTTGGAGAAGCAATTCTGAGGCCCAAACGAGCTGGCCCTGGTTGACTTTTGGATTCCATACGTGTATGTTGACTTGGCTCCAGGGTGGACTCTCAATCTGGATCACCAGATCGGGCCTTTGGCCATCTGGCTGCTGGAGATGTGGAAGTGCATGGTATGCTACAATTCTTGATTTGCACCGGATTACCAGAAGAAAAATATAACAAAGAATATGGGGGACCTGGGATCAAACCCAAGTCCTGTGGATGCTTGTATTGCTCGCTTCGCCACTAGGCCATTGTGCTTTAGTTGTTAATATGTTAAACAATAATAATAATAAGAGAAAACGCGTTATATGCCAGAAAAAATAAAAAATACGCGCGTGTTTCGAATTGTCCACTGGGGAGGCGACACGCCATCATCCCCTACCTCCAGCCACTGTAAAATTTCCTGCGGATTTGGATCCGCAGTTAAATGCGTAGCTCGACCCAAAAATTAATTCCAGGCCATAAAAACGACCCCCAAAGGCATGGTTAGGTTCGTCTCCCTCTCCTGAGTGCAACCATGCATATCACGAGATTCAATTTCACCTGAAACACAAATCCCTAAAATCTAAAATGAAACCCTAGCCATGCTGTTATGAGGTTACAGTCCATATAAATCAAATTAAGTATTACCAAAAGTTTGGAAATCTCATGAGGATCACAAATATATCAATGATTTGCCAGAATGATGCAAGAATAGAGAGCTATGATTTCGAATACAGGGCCAAGAAACGTGATACTTACAGATCTCTTATGGGCTTGAGAATGCGTGCGTTGGATCCAGGAGGGTTATGTGATCACCCAGGAATCGATTGGTATCAATCTCTGCTTCTGAAAACGCCTCAAAGTATGATTTTGGTTTCACACTTTTTAGTGAATTTTGCAAGTTTTGTTTTGCTTATTTCTGCAGCCTTTCGCCCTTGTAATCGTGCCTTAAGCTTCCTTATGTATTGTGGAATGCATTAGGTTAAGAATTATGGATTGAATCCTTCCACATCAATGCCATGAAATTTGATTTGATTCACCATTACTAAACCTTCCAAAATTGTCAAAACTCAATCTTTTTGCACATGGATTGCTTGATACGAATTTGATACTCTTAATGATGATGATTCAGTCCTGAAATAGCCAAAAAGATATCAAGTAATCAATATTTGGATTTTATTTGATTTAATTTGATTTAAAATGAAATAATTCAATAAAAAATCAAATAAAATAATAAAAAAGAAATATGATCTCAAGGCTGAAGCTAGGACACGTTTACAATGGGACAAGCTCAAATCAAGTGGAAAAGAATGATCCCATTTGACAAAATTTGAAGTTTTGGGGATAGTTGACTTTTGGCAATTTTGCAAAAATGCCCAACTTCAACAATGCATAACTTCTTCAATTTTGAACTTTTGGAGGTGTTCTTGGACTTTTTAGAAAGCTTGAGATGTCCTCCAACCAACCCTTTTGGTCTCATCTCATTTTGATATTCCATGCTCAAGTTATAAGCTTTGGAAAAAAAGGTGTTTTTGTTGACTTTCAAAAATGACCTATAATGTCCAAATTTATACCTTCTTGTGAGTACATTTTCTGATCTTGGGGTATAAAGCAAAGAAATGTTGTTGGGTTTAAAATATACCACCTACAACATAGACATTGTATAACATTATATAATGCAACTGCTTCCTGAATGCAAGAAAGAAAAAAATTATTACACCACCTACATCTGCATACAATGAGTAGGCTTTCTCATATTGTCCATCAATTACATACAACTCCGCTAATGCCTGCAATGGAATGAGAATATGTTAACAGAAGGAAAATGTTGATGGGTTCAAAATAGAATTATAATTAATTGGGATTAACCTCTTTGAGTAAGTCAGTCATGGACGAAGTATTAAGTTGTGGTTCAATGGCTGAAATAACAGGTGGTGCAGAATAGATTACAGATGGCCAGGATTTTACAGTGGATAAGAGATCCTTATGGAAAGATGAATTTGTAGCCAATGCGACAAGAGCAACCTGTAGAGTCAAAAGCATAATAGATGAATTATATTCCCAGTTTATTAAATACAGATGCTAATCATACATGTTAATTGTAACAGAGAGCAGTGTGTTTTAACGAACCTCATAAGCTGTATCACGTAGTCTCGGGTTTTCGGTAGGCATGTAAGGAACCAAAACAGGGAGTTGACGTAGATGTGCAAAGTGGAAGACCCATCTGGTGAAAATGGTTAATTTAACACTCAATTACAAAATATGAACCCCACAGCCGATTACAAATAATCTTAATGCCTTACGCAGTACCTCTCCCATGCCGAAGTTGATCCTCACAGTAACTTGGGACATAAAGAAGCTGCTTCACCATACTTTCTTTCCACAATCAGATGATCAAGGTACCTAGATCCCACCTGCAAAGATACGAGGAAAGTGAAACACTTAACTATCATTATACTCAAATTAAGAAATTAGCTAGAAGGAAACAATACATAGATACTGTTAGGAGCCTGAAGACATTGTAAAGAAAGAAATAGAAAAAATCAAAAGAATAGAAGCACGTTACTGAAAATTGAATAGAAAATGGAGAATAGAAGTCTCCCTAAGGGATTTGCCTTTATAGAGAATTTTTCCTTACACGGCTATCAAAGGTAGACAGGGAGTGACTCCCTCTGTCTTAAGAGCTACCCGCATAATACATAATATACTTTTACAGTGTTTTATTACAAAATATCAAAGAGGATATAGGAAGGTACAATAAAGGAGAGGACAAGGTATCCACAACTTTAAAAGGCTAATATTGGCCAAGATCATCATCATCATAGCATCATCAATAATAATGCTACTAATTCCCATTTAACAGATCAAGTCATCAACAACTATGCAGCAGCTAATTGGCATGCTCTTTCATTCCAACAACCACAACACCCTTACAATACCAACAACATGCAGTTGCAGCATTACCCTTATGGTGCACAAACTCAAACTCAGAAGCTTTGGTGTAAGCAAGAACAAGATTCTGATGATCATAATACGTATACTACTACTACTGATCATCATATTCATCATCAACAGCTACAGTTAGGGAATAACAACAATAACAATAATACTCACAATTTCTTTGGTTTGCAAAATATCATGAGTATGTACTCTTCTATAGATGCATCACCTCCAATCCCGATACCTTCAACCAGCAATGCCATCTCGCCTATAGGAATTTATAAAATGATATAAGATAACAAAATTAACAATAAAAAGGCAAAAAGAGAATGTGTGAAGAAATGAACGGTATCAAACACAAAACACATCAATACAATTAAGTGCTATAGCTTGAACAAAGTTCAATTAAGTGCATACTTTCAATTAAAATTTTAACGTTTGTCTGAAACTAAGTAACCATGAACCCAACATTACGTAAAGAGACATTGTCCTTGTTCAAATGGATGAAATTGGTTTAGATATAGTAACATTACCTGACACATCTTCCTGGCCACGTAATCGTTGGAGAACCTTTTTAGCTTCTAGCATCTTTCCTTTACTCACGAGCCATCGAGGAGACTCGGGCAAGAAGAATAATGTCAATATAAAAAAAGAAGAGAGAAGGAATAGCGAGAACCCCGAGCATTACTCTCCAGCTAGGCGAGGCACTCAATGACATCACAAAAACCATACAATATGATAAAAACATTCCTCCAGAACCACTGAACTGGGGAAGTGTATTCAACGACCCCCTTATATCGGAGGGAGCAGTCTCCGATATATAAACTGGAACAAGAGTTACGGCAAGGCCAATACCAAATCCATCAAGCAGCCTTGCTAAGCACAACACATAAACATTAGGAGACCATAACATCACCAAACTACCCAAGAAATACAGCACGGATGAGATTATTAACATTGGTCTCCGACCAAGCCAATCTGAGATGGGACCAGAGCAAGTCGTAATGACAGTAGCTCCAATTAGCGACATGGCCACCACAAGCCCTTCCATAGTTGTTTGCAAAGCAAGGTCTTTCTTAATGTAAAGAATCGAACCTACAAACAAACATGAAAAATAAGCATTCAATAAGCAACTCACACCATACAATTCCTGCTGAAACACTTTGCTTGTTAAATTGGACCATACTAGAACCTATTCGAACAAACATCTTAATTAAGTGCTTATATCATATAAGTGCTTATGTACAAGCTATTTATTTCCATATGAAAAAATAAAATGAAGTTTTCACATAAGCTATAAGATGGATTCATAAGCTTATAGCTTATATTAAAACAGACTCAGAAGTGCTTATGTTAGCAGATAAACACAAATAACTGAATCCATACATATCTTAGATCTGATTCAGCCGATACAAAAACAACAAATTGAATCATTTAACCATACAAACTAAGATCCATGATTTGAATATCAAATTCATTTGAACCTGAATCATAATTACTAATCATCTAATCTAATCCGTAAACAAATAAGCCGAATTTGAAGAAAAAAAACCTTGTAAGTTGTAATTACTAACCATCTAATTAAATCTATAAACAACCAAATTAGAAGAATCAAAGAAAAAAGCAAGAAAATTACCAGCAATGGTAGCATTATCCCAACCCTGAAGAAAATTCCTGATGGAAGCAGCAATTGCAACAAGAACCGCACCTTTCATTTTCCTTCGATTATTCTTAAACTGATTCACCTTCAAGTCACACAAATCTATAATTATACAAACAAAAAACACTATCAGAGTGAGTCAAAGAGTGAGTGAGACAGAAAAAACTGCTTTGAAAACTATAATGCATCCAACTAACAGTGTGTATGAGAAGAGAACTATGGTAGTTGAGAATAAGACTTGTGAGGTTCAACTTCATGGAAAATATATACATATATAATCACAGTAGTAACAATAACAAGAGGTGAAAAAGTAACTTAAATCATAATCACTTAATCGTATTAACTACCTGAAAATACAGATCGAGAAAAAGCTACTTTTCAAAATCACTATTCAAATAATCACTTGGCCTTGAAGGTGAATCGCTTGCCGGCATACCATTCTTCTTCACCTTGGCCTTGTAGATATATGCAAATCGCTTGCCGGCATACCAAGCTACCTCCTCCTCGGTGTTAACTCCTTCGATTTGGACCAGAGATGTGTTTGGGTACTGGTTTGATTTGGATCTACAAAAACAACATGAAGGAATAAGTATCAAACAAAATACTCTTAACACTATATTTCAGTTTTGCATCATGGGTAAAAGAATTAAAAAATTTACAGAGGAATGAAGAATATACCTCTTGTATCCAAGAATTGTGCCCCTCACATAAAGCCTAACACAAATTGAAAACGAATAGCAGAAAAAAGATTAAACTACAATATCACGTCAAAAGCTACGAGTACAAAAAATTGCAAATCTGAACGGAAAAAAACGATGACAGAAGAAATGAAGAAGGTACCTAACACGCTCGCCTTAACGTCCTTTCACCATCTTCACTGCAGCTGAAGCAAATTCGGCCAAATCTCAACACTCAGAAATGGCTCTTTTAGGGTTTTATGAAAGATGGAACGGTTGAATGAAGTTGTTTTGGCGGAAGCTTGTTTATGGTGAGGAGGGGAAATGATGGCGAGTTGCAGGGGAAAAGCGGTGTTGGATGACTACCGGAGGGAGTTATATCGGAGAGATGACGGAACAAAGGGAGTAATGGAGTGAGACAGGGGGAGTTTGGGAGGAGACGAATGGAGAAGAAGATGAACAGCGATATGGGTTTAATTTTGTGTTTCTGGAAATCTGATTTAGGGGTTAGGGGTTTAGAAATAAATTAACAAACCAAAGGCAGCGCTTTCAAGAAGCGCTGCTAAAGGTACCCCCCTTTAGCAGCGCTTTAGGCTTACCCCACCTTTAGCAGCGCTTTTAGATTTACACAAAGGCAGCGCTTTCAAGAAGCGCTGCTAAAGGTACCCCCCTTTAGCAGCGCTTTAGGTTTACCCCCCTTTAGCAGCGCTTTTAGACTTACACCTTTAGTAGCGCTTTTTGAAAGCGCTGTCTAAAGCATACTCTTTAGCAGCGCTTTTATTAATTTTTTAATTTTTATTTTTTTTAAAACCCTATAGCAGCGCTTAGGGAGAAAAAGCGCTACCTTTGATAAGGCCTATAGCAGCGCTTTTAATAAGCGCTGCCTTTGATAAGGCCTATAGCAGCGCTTTTAGCAACGACGGTGCTACCTACCTCTCAATGGTGGGATAGCACTATCTAAAGGACTCTTACACAGCCTAATTCCTTAGAGTAGGTAGATTCTCCTGGGTACTTGCTCTTTTCAAAAACAAAAAAACATCTTTTCGCACCGACACTTTCAAAAGGTTTTCAAACAAATTTTTCATACACTCTTGAGGACAGATACAAGAGTTATCTAGAAATTTTTCAAACGAAACTTTTTCAAAACCCACACACACTTGAAAAGCAAACATCTTTTGAAAACATAAGAGCAAGTACCTAAGAGCCTGTGGATAACCACGGATAGAAAGGGTGCTAACACCTTCCCTTTCTATAAATCTACCTCCCGAACCGAGAAACATTCTCAAAGAAGGAATTTTGCTGTGCTTTTGTCCTTTCCATGTTGGAGAACATAAAAGACGGTGGCGACTCTTACTTACCGTGACATTTCGCGAACCAGCTTAAAAAAACAATCAGTTCTATTTCAACCGATCACAGAAGCAAAGTCACTATCACATACAAGTCAGTGATACCTATATTCCCCACAGAGCCGAGACAACCAAGGTCCTACCTCTGTATCCCCAAGCAGGAATTCCTTCCTCAGCAGGTTCCTTTAGAAAGCTGATATCTGCATTCCCCAGCCGAGTTTTATAACCATGAGCAGTTTATAAAGCTATCTCCTGAGCAGAGTTTATTTCTCTGACTGCGGAAGCTAAATCTCTAACAGAGCTCTTCTCTCCAGCAATGGAAGTTCATCCCCAGCTGAGTTTATTTCTCCAAATCAGCAGATCTTCCAACAGAGTATCTCTCTTCCCTACAGAGTCATTCCCCTGCAGGATTATTCTCAGACAGAGTCTCTCCCGGCAGAATATTCTCAAGCAGAATGGATGTAAATCTCCAGCTAATCATATTCGGTCACTATCCCCAGCAGAAATGAAGAACTCAACTCCTTATACTCTCCAGCAGCAGTCCGGGATGTATTTTCCCCAGCTAGAGAATATCACAATAGCATTTCATATCCATACATCATGGCATACACATACATATTATACAAGACAGTCTCATTTATTTTTAGAACATCATTACTCAATACATTTCATACATCATGACATTACATACGACTAACTCTTTACCTTTCAGGGAAAGATGCAATCAAGTTCTCACGAGTTCTCTTTGGTTCAGTCAAACTGACACCAAGGTTTCTATTCCAGTTGAAGATACTCCAACACTTTTCAAGATTTTCTCTGGTTCAGTCAAATCGACACTAAGGTTTCTATTCTAGTTGAAGATGTTCTAAGACTTTTGTCTGGGTCAGCCGAATCACCGCTAAGATTCCCCTGATTTATATGCCAGCCAAAGTTAATCCGAGACCTCTCCCAGGATCAGTCAAATCGATACTAAGATTTCTCTCCCAGTTGAAGCTCTCATAAGTTTTCTCTGGTTCAGTCAAACTGACACTAAGGTTTCTATTCTAGTTGAATATTTTCTAAGACTTTCGTCTGGGTCAGCCGAATCGCCACTAAGATTCCCCTGATTTCTATGCCAGTCAAAGTTAATCTGAGACCTCTCCCAGGATAATTCAAACCGATACTAAGATTTCTCTCCCAGTTGAAGACAACTCGAGACCTTTCCCTGGTTCAGTCAAATCGATACTAAGATTTCTATTCCAGTTAATAAAGCTATGAATCCCGGAAACTTACCGGATAATAGTCAACCAACAATACATCATACTGTGAAGCCTGGAAATCGACCGGATAACAGTACAAGATACTATGAAGCCTGGAACTAACCAGATAGTGGTATATCCCAGATTCAAGCTATGAAGCCCGGAAATTGACCGGATAATATCTTGATTTCTCCAAAATACTATGAAGCCTGGAGTCAACCATATAGTGGTATAAGACACCGTGAAGCCTAGAGCACGACCATATAATGGTATAAGATGCTGTGAAGACTGAAGCACGACCAGATAGCGGCAAGAGACACTGTGAAGCCTGGAGCACGACCAGATAACAATATGAGGTACTGCGAAGCTTGGAATTCGACCAAATAGCAATTTACTCGGCCAATTACTATGAAGCCCGGAAATCGACCAGATATTAGTATGCCTTAAATTCAAGTTGAAACCCGTATGCGACCGGATAACCACTTAATTCCTTCTGAAGCTTCGAGCACGACCAGATAAGAATTGAGAAATTGCAAAGCCTGGAGCACGACCAGATAGCAAGTGTAATCTCATCTTCCCAATAAGTCACTGTGAAACCTGGAGCACGACCAGATAGCAGTTAATCTTATTATCCTCAGCAAATCACTATAAAGCCTGGAGCACGACCAGATATCAATTCATTTCGATCTCCTCGACTAAGAGATGATTCCTTAGTAGAGTAACAGACAACTGAAGCTCCTAAAATTCTATTTCTCCCAAGACAGAGACCAACATTCCTCAGCAGATTCCTCCTCAGCGACAGGAACAGGAATTCTCATCAAAGGAATATCTCGGGAAATCAACATCCTCTAGATGGCATCTTTAAGCCCATCTCCGAAGATTTTCCGTCATATCCTCTAGATGGCATCTTTAAGCCTATCTCCTACGATTCTCTGTCATATCTTCTGGATGGCATCTTTAAACCCATCTCCGACGATCTTTCGTCATCTTTTCCAAAAGGCATCTGTAAGCCCATTCCTGATATTACTTACACAGTCCAGCATCATCTCAAACGAGTGCAAATTTATGGGCACTCTAGTGCTCAATCATCTTCCACCTTCAGATCACGAAAGGCAGACTAGCCAATCTACATTTTCAGGTTTAAGAAGATTGAACAGGGGCAGCTGTTGCACTCCAAAATTTACCCTTTTTATTTCGACCTTTTTGGCTTACATTTCATTATTACATACATGCATATCATTGGTTTTATGGTTATGGAATCAAGGTATATTTAGAAAACTTCTTTAGGTTACAAGCAACGTTTATTTCGTCAATGGATGTTCTAAGAGTATTTTTAGTGCGGAAGATCGGTTCGCCGTTTCGCAACGATTCGGGGTTCAAAGATCCACAAGTCCAACCCGACGCGTCATATCCAGGTGTTCTTTTTCCAAGATATCTTTGATAACGTATTCTAAAATTCAGGTTCGGCTCAAGAGTCAATTATTTAAAGAAGGTCTCCAAATGTGTGAGTTTTCTCGAAGAAATATGGTGAAAAAGTGTGCTGAAAGTGCAGTTTTTATGCACTAAAAATTCATAACTTGAAGATTGTGGCTTGTTTTGAACCTGTTTCGGTGGCCAAAATTCTGTCTTGACGTCATCTACATTTTCATCTCTCACGGATGGAAGCCAATTTCGATCAGAAGGTCTTCAAAAATGCGGATTTATCAAGTATTTTTGTACATAAAATTTGTGACAGAAGTTTATTTGCGTCATGTTCAGAAAATCATAATTTGGTCAATTTTCATCTTATCGAGC